CGCTCAGATTCTGAAAATGTTCATGAGATGAAAAAAAGAAGGCTACATTCAAATGTTTTCTTCTTTCTTGGGTCTCAAATTATGCATATATAAAAATAGTATTCCTAAAAAAAATACAAGAGGAAAAGATCTACATTTGTGTGGTTGGAGTGGGCTCTCCTAAATATAGTGGACGAATTATTCCAAAACACTATATATTTTTTGAGGGTATTTTTTAGATTTGTGAGATTATTTTTTTATTTGAACAATAGATTTGTGAGATTGATAATATTAGATTCAGGACTTGAATGGTTGCCCATAAATCTTGAGATGATTGAAGAGTTGTCGCATAACATATCTTGATTCGATTTTTTTTAAGTGGCGGAGAAATCTTGGAGTTGCAATACAACAAATAGGGCACTCGAATTGTCATGGCCACGTCACGTGGACAACCATTCATGCATCGTTTTATACAGGATTTAATTATTTTGGTGATGAAAATATAAATATAGATTCAAGTTTAAACATGTGTCTTCATTTTAAATTCCGATGTCTTCAAGATTTACCAAAAACAAAAAGACTTGAAAGGACATGCTAATTGATACATGATCATGAAGCTTCACATGGTGGGGCTCAAAAGGGCCTTATCTACTATATCACATTAGAACTTTCAACAATTTTCTTCTTGTGCAATTCCCTCTCACACAAAATAAACTTAAAAGACGAAATATATTTTTATAAAATTGGGGTTTTTCAGGTTATGAGTCGGGTTGATGCCCGAGGGAAAAGGCCAATGAAACCTATTAAAACAAATGCAAAAAATACAATAGACTATAGTTTTTTTTTTTGCTAAAATATAGACTATAGTTAGTAGTCGAGAAACTACAATCGTGGAAGCCGTAATGGCCGTGGACCTCTCAACTTGGGATCTCTAGTGAGTTTTTTCTCTAGTTCCTTCCACACACTCTTTAATATTTCAATAGCTATACTACTAGTGTAAGTTATACTTGATCTTGTTGCTCTCAAAACTATGACTTTGAAGATAGGTCATAGCTTGTAACTTTGTTCATTATGCATTTTTGTAGAATATCTTTTAACAAAAAAAAGATAACAGGCCAATGGAATCTTGGGCAAAAATCTCCTAGCTGACTTGTCGAGACGAGAAGATGTTACTGCCACGTAAACATACCAATGTCAATATCTCTAACTATTTGTCGTCCCTGTGCGCCATTATTCACAATTGTGCATAAAATCAATTATATATTACAGTATTTCCGAGTAAAATGCCACGTGAAGTAGCTCCGAATACAAAACTATAATATATAACCATGTAACGCATATATTGGACCCTATTATAGTCGACTGAACATAAAACTAAGATAAGGATTTTATATCCCTATCAAACTATATGTTATCATATAACCCAAGATTCTAAATCTTGTTATTATGCGATTTCATATGTTTTTTTTTCAAATATAAGCGGAAGATTCTTGTTCGAGACTCATACTAATACTGCTAATTTGTAAAACGATTACATATTTGATACGTACGTACCTAATATTCATCTCTATATTTTTGATAACTACTTGTCCTCCTCTCCGGCGGCTATTGCACATTCACGACGGTGGTGATCTCTCACTGTTCCCCATTCATGCATGGAAAGATGAAGTTTTTTTCCGGCGAGCAAGAAATCGGCTGCTTGTGTTGGCGTTAGAATCTCGACGATCTTGGTTATAGTATCCACCCTTAGATGATCGGCCTCGGCCAATAAATTGGCCATAGCTTCTTCTTGCTTGTCCAGAGCTTGATCTACCATCGAGTTAGGCTCTCCGACGTGCTCCTCTGAGTAAGCCACCGTGGCGATGGGAATATCCGCAGCGTCTTCTTGCAAGCTCGATATTTTCTTGGTCATCTTCTCTTCTTCGTCTATTATTTTCACATGCAAGACGTTGATCTTCGCTAGTTGCTCCGCCGTTATATCGCTTAGTGATGCGCCACCGCCACCTGTCAAACCGTACCAAACCAAATTGAACTAGACTCGGAACCAACAAATTCTTAAACCGAAACAGTAATCAAACCAATTGTTTTTTTTTATATATCTATTTTTTTTTTTGAAAATATTTGTTTGTACTTTTTATTTTTATATATCTGTTGGTTTCATCATTTTTCTATATTAAAAAAAAATGAACCAAAACTAAACCAAAATTGTTAGTATCATATAGGCAGGCAGGTATATTATTTTTGTATTGGATGTAATACTAAATTGTTATAATTGAAGTTATATAAATCCATAGTTCCTATTATTTTTTTGTATTGAACAAATTGAATCAAATCAAACCAATCTAAACCGATAAAACCGAAACCGAAAAAACGTCCAAATAAAATCCTACCTGAATGATCGTAACCGTCGATGTTACGAAGAAACTGAGAGAGACGAATCTCAGTTTGAGAGCCACACAAAGCATAAACGAGACGAAAAAAAGAAGATGGTCTACAACCACCCATCCAAATCAGAGCGTTCTCTAAAGGAGTATTCCACGACGGAGCATAATAGTTTGAGCCACATCGGTTAGAAAGATTAGCTCTTTTCCGAGCGTAATCTCTAAAATCTCCGATGATCTTTCCGGTTAACTCGCGGAGGGTTTTAACGGCGTTGGGGTCGTCTTGAGAGCGTCGTTGAGCCAAAGCTTGTTTGAGCTCAGAGATGCGTTGGGATTGTAAAGTCATCCATTCTTGATAACAACGTTCTTGAGCTTGTTCGATGTTCTTCGTCGAAGAACCTTTGTTCTCCATTTTTTTAAGTAATATTAATATTATTGGTTACTTATTTTT